CGGTAGCGATTCCCTGTCTCTCTGCCAGGTTCAAACCCCTGACAGTAAAATTTAACATTTTTTAACCCTGCCAAGGGTCAAATGTTGGGCAAGAGCCTCCTCAGCTCCTGTTCAGTGCTGCAGGACAGCACGGGCAGGCACTTAAATAACCGCCCTGCAAGTATCAGGGGTAATCCGTGAAGCACTTGCAGTATTTTTCTACTCACACTCTCCAACACGTCTTGCATTTTCACGAGTAATAGATGGGTGAATATTAAAAAAAGTTCAGATTTTCAGGTAACGCAGTTTCTGCGTCTCATTCCGCCTTTTGCAAGGAATCGGCAACCAGGCAAATAATTAAAATGGAGAAGAGAAAGCAGCGAGTTCCGCATAAGCGTGCAAAACTCTGAAAAATATTACATTTTACTACACTTTAAAATTGAGAAACGTCGCCTGCGCCAGCAAAGCATCACCCAGAGACAACTTGCCGAGCCTCGCCGAGTTGAGAAAGCCCCTCTTGGTTTGGGTGTCGCACGCCGCGGTTTTATCAGAGGCTCGCTCCCATATAGAAACCGGCGTTGAGAACGCAGCGCCAGACATTTACCGTTTCCTCTGAGCAACCTGACGCGCCATTTCAAATCAAATCAAGTGCTAAAAGCGCGATTCACCGAAATCAAGGACGCACGAATACCGACACGCTAGCTCGGAACGGGACTTAACGCGTTCATCAAAACGACGTTACCTTACCTTAATTGCACCTGTATCGTGTAATCACATTTGGCACCCGGCAAGATATCTCTGCAACGGAAAAAGAAGGTCTTAAGACTGTCAGCAGCGCTTAAGACAGTTACAGCTACAACAGCATACATTTTTATGAAGCTATATCGATACCGATACACGTGAGTTATATTACGCATAAAACCACTGCAGCTGAATTGCAAAAACGGGCCATGCCTGTCCGAACTGGCAGGCAAAATTCCCCCAACAAGGACATAAAGCAAAAGGCCATCAAAGGGAAGAGAGAGTGGTGGGAAAAGGAGAAAAATCAGCCTCAAAGATTCTGGCTACTGCTGAGTTTTAAGAACATAATGCCAACTACAGACTTGCCGACGCAAGTGATTGTGTTTTATCGGCACAGGTGGAGGGCAGTCCTGAATCTGGGGATGAACTTGCACGTTTCTATCCCAACGACCACACTTTTCTCTCTTCCACGCAATAATTCCGCTCTGCAGGGTTTTAGGGAGGTCCTCAATGGCTGTAAGCAGCACGGCACCGCCGACACCTCAAGGAACCCCCCTTTTTACACCCAACTCAGCGTTTTATTCTCACATACTGCACTGGAGCAGAGAAACGTGAATTGTTTTACGATTCAGCTCTTCCTCCTGTTCCGACCGTCCCTGACCTCCTCATCTGCCAAGGCTCGCTCACCCAGGCTCTGCCCATTTTCTCTCCTGCCTCCGCTCCCCGTTCTGCCGGGGAAGAACACGCAGCCGGAGCCAGGAAACCACGCGCGCCTGGACGGCATCCAGAGCGACACCGTTTCGCTTACCGGGAGGTGAGGATCTGTTGAACTTGCTGGGGGGTTAGAGCAAAGGTGAAGTGAGCTTCTTCAAACCGCTGACTGTTGGTTGAGGCTGAAAAAGAGAATTTAAGGCAAATTAAATCAGCGTTTGGTCATTCTTACACGCCTGCAGGCGCCAAGGCTTGTGATAAAGGCAGGACAGCATCCGCTAAAAGCAGAAGGCAATCCATCGCCAAAATTAACTGCGGTTCCAGGCAGGGGCCCTCCGCGTCCTCGACCGCGTAACCAAGCGTCAGGTCTGTTTTTCAAGGTAGACGTTCGGTTTCCACCATTTTATTTACAAGAAAAACCGAGGGCTGGAAAGGAAGGAGGCTTGCACGGGTAACAAATGGTGAGGAAATTGGGGAAACCCGCCCGCTCGCTCTCCTGGGTCTGCAACAGCCTCCACGAAGAGCCCAAGAGGGTTGGGAAGAGCGAGACCAAACGCGGAGCTACGGGAATGCCAGAGGTCATCCGCTGCCCTAGAAATTATGATAATTGCTGTGGGTATGGAATAAGTACAGTTGCTGAACAATCAGCAGGTGCTGCCAGTTTCTCCTCGGGCGCACGGACAGAGTCACGGTGAATTTAGAGAAAACCAGCCATGCCCTTGATCAAAAATAAACACGCGTGAGAAAGCCACGTAATGGGAAAACCAAGAATTTTACGCGAGGGTTAGCGACGAGCACGGTGAAAATGTGCGGTTCCAGATGCACGTAAAAATAAACGAGGATTTCCCCCTCTCTTACCCTGACCTTAACCAAGTTACTTCTTTTGCACCCGAGCTTCTCCCTCGGTAAAACGGGCAGGCGCCTGCCTCCCTCACAACAACCGTGAGCTGGTTTACGAGTATTTGCAGAGTATCGTATCCCAGAACGCAGAGCACCGCCGCCGTAATTCGCAAAGAGACAATTTGGCCTCGCCTGCGCTCGTTTTTACACCCGTCGGGAGAGGCCCTGGGCAGCAGCAGCTCCCGCCGGTGCTCTCTGGGACGCGGAGCATCCCCGGGTCCAAAGAAAACGAAGCCGAGGACGTTATGGCAGCGGCAGGCGTTAGCGTAAATCTCACGTTTTGATCCTTTATTTATTTAAAGGAGCTCGGTAACGCTTGCGCTGAGCTGGTCGTGGCGTGACCGTCCCCGGCGCAGGTCAGCTCTGTCCTCTGCCCGGGGACAGGGACACCCTCACGCTGGCCTCCCCAAAAAGCAGATTCAAGCACGGATTCCTCCGTGGGGCGAGGGGTTTTGCTTCTCCAGCCTCCCGCAGCTCAGGAATGCGAGGAATGCGAGGCCCTGAGTTTTCCTGGCAGATGACCTGCCAGATCTTCCCCAGACCGGCAACAGCCGCAGGCTGGCAGACCGGACCGGAGAAATTCAGAGGAATTTTGACCATCTTAGGACTTTCTGTCCAAGCCTTTCGCTCCTCGGTGGCAAAAATCGGATCCCGATTCTGCTCCGAACAGAGCCGGGTTGAAGCCGCGGGGCATCAAAGCAGCGCTAACCGATATCCGCGGTTTCCTCCGTCCGCTGCTGCCTCCATTTATACTCAATAACTACCTGCGTCCCGCAACCGATCTCTAACCGGCGTCACGGCTCTGTGGGCAGCCTTCATCCAACCCCGAGAGCAACACCGACGTCGCCGAGAGCCAGGGTCACGGGGAGCGGGAAAGCCAAAGCCTGGATCTTCCTCGCCTGCGGCAGTCAGAGCCCGGCCGGAGCAGGAGGCTTTATCGTCAACCCCCGCGTCACTGTCTTCACCCGTCGTCACCCTCTCCGTCCCTGTTCCCATTTGTCCTTCCCACATATTGCTTATTTCTGGCGTTTTTCTGGCACCACGACCTTCATATCTGAATGCTTTTAACAAATTGCCCCGAGCAACTAAAATAAAAAAATGGGAAGGGGACGTTTGCACGGCTAAAGGGAGAAGACAGACACAAACCACCAGAAGCCAAAAATAAAAAGTCCACGATCCCCTAGGAATTGCATAAAAACTCTTTCAAGTTCAAGCACAAACACATAAATAGAAGAGTTTTATCAGGGCAGAGAAAAAAATAAAAGATTTCTTTTGCAAGACGAGTATCCCATTTCAGGGAACAGGCTTAACCACAGGTTGTCTGAGAGGCTGAACAAAGCCAAACCTAAGAAAAGGCAATTTTTAGCAAAACAGTAACGAAACCAAACCCCCCAAAAAAGCGCCTGGGTTTGGTTGGAGGACAGACACACTCATCTCCGCTTCAGCAAACATTACTATGTTTATACGAAAGAGAAACATCCCTGAATCCAAGCGAAAACCATTTAAAAGGCCTAAGCTGGGTGGATCTAGCCTGAAGAGGCCAGACGCGCTCAACCTAAAGTAAAAAACACAACTTATTCTAAAAACCAGAATAAACCTCCCTTCTTCGCAGGCCCAAATCACCCCAAGCGCAGCAGCGCTTCCAAAACCACCGGCAATTACCGGGCTGACTCCGTACCGTACGGCTCCCCACCAGCGTTTGAAGGATTGCGGCAAACACAGCTTTTCTGGAACTGGGCAAAAAAACAGCATTTTCTTTTGCCCGTTTCACAAACGGGGAAGCGCCGGGGCGCCGGAGAGCATCAGGTCGAGGAACAGGCGGCTTCGCCCTGTTGCCACAGCCCATTTCTGCTCTTCAATTTTACGATCCCCGTTGGCTTCCTGCTCAACGTCGCCTCACCAACGCAGAGCCGACCTCTTCGCTGGACCGTAACGCATAAACCGCATCATTAATTTGATACATCGGAGGATTTTAGGACTCCCTTTTTGTTAATAATTGAGGCAGAATTGGGACTCGAACGCGGCAGAGGGTTTTTAAGAAGCTGTTTTGCTGGAAGCCATCAACGCCAATTGTTCGCAAAAACAACAAACCGCTTTTCACAATTAACTCTCCTGGCGTTCGCTAATTTGTTCGGAAAGGGAGCCCGTGCCAACCGAACCAGGTTTTTATTCTCTTGGGATTAGGACCCAAATGCTGACGTACCACAGAGCAGAGAAAGCTTCACAATTCCGAACGCAACGAAAACCCCAGGCTCTATCAGGTGAAAACGGTGAATAATCCAAAAAGTTACATACAATTATAAAATATACACTTAGAAGGCGTCAGCTGGGAGAGAAATACCCTTCTTCATGCAAACACATTTGGAACAAGACTGACAAGCAAGTAAAGGCTTCCATTTCTGGCAGCCCATCCGAGTTGGAAGCTATCGTTCCGAACGATCCGCGGGCTGGAGCGGCTCTGCTCCGAGGGCAGGCTGGGAGAGCTGGGGTTGTGGGGAGCAGAGAAGGCTCTGGGGAGGCCTTAGTGCGGCCTTTCACAGCACGGCAGAACGACGGGGACAGATGGTTTAGTAGGGCCAGCAGCGTTAGGACAAGGGGGAATGGTTTTAAATTAAAAGAGGGGAGATTCAGTGGATAGAGGGGAGAAATTTGTCACGCTGCGGGCGGTGATGCCCTGGCACAGGGTGCCCAGAGGGTGCTGGGTGCCCCATCCCTGGAAATCGTGGCGCTTCGGGACATGGTTTAGTCTGGTCTGCCCTTAATTGGTTTAGTGTGGACTTGGTAGTGTTGGTTAATGGTTGGACTGGATGATCTTAAAGGGCTTTGCCAACCTCAACGATTCTGTGATTCGATGAAACATCCAAGGTCAGGGTGGACAGGGCTTGGAGCAAGCTGATGTGGGTGAACACAACGTGTGTTCAAAAAACGGGTAGATGTGGCACTTGGGGCCATGGTTCAGTCTGGTCTACGCTTGATTGGCTTGGAGTAGACTTGGTAGTGTAGGTTAATGGTTGGACTGGATGATCTTAAAGGTCTTTGCCAACCTAAACAATCCTAGGATTCTATGATTCTAAGACGTCCCTGCCCGTGCCAGGGGCTGGGCCAGATGCCCCTTGAAGGTCCCTTCCCACCCAAACCCTTCTACGAGTCTCTAAAATCCCGCTTTCACCTGGCTATCAGCCTTTGGAACCCACACCGACGCCTTGCCCTAATCGCGCCACTCCCGCTCCGCCTTTATCCGAGCAAACAAAACGAGCCTCCGAAAACCCGAGAGGAGCGAGGGGTTTCGCACCTACCTAACGTGGTGGGTTTTATCAACTCATCGTAAACGTCGTAGAAGGGCAGCCTCTTCATCTTGACAT